GGACGGCCGGCAGCATTTTGCCTTAGAGCGCGGCTCCGGCCGCCTGCTCGTGGCGGGGAGGCTGGACCGGGAGGAGCTGTGCGGCCAGTCCGCCACCTGCATGCTCCCCTTTGAGCTGCTGCTCTCCAAACCCCTGCAGTTCTTTCGGGTCGAGGTAGCCTTGGAGGATATCAATGACCATTCGCCTATTTTCCGCGGAGATCGAGTAAGATTTAGGATCCCTGAAACGAGCAACCCTGGTTCACGTTTCCCGTTGGAGGTGGCTCGAGACCTCGATATTGGCAGCAACACAGTCCAGACGTACAGCATATCTCCCGAGAACGAATATTTCAGTGTCTCCTATGGAAGTCGGAGTAATGGAGACAAATATGTTGAACTTGTTTTGGAGAAGCCACTAGACAGAGAGGAGAAGGCAGAGATGAGTTTCAGTCTCATTGCTGTAGATGGGGGCTCTCCTCCCAGAAGTGGCACCATCGAGATCTCTGTGGTCATTATGGATGTAAATGACAATGCTCCCACATTCAAACAGGACCATTACATTGTGAAGGTTTTGGAGAACATGACAGAAGGGTCTGTGTTTCTGCAACTGCTGGCAACAGATCAGGATGCAGGAATTTATGGGGAAATTTCCTACCAACTCAGTGAAGCTGCAGACGAGAGTGTCTCAATATTTGTGATTGACCCCCTAAGTGGTGAAATTAGATTCACAAAACCTCTGGACTTTGAGGCAGCACAACGTCACGAGCTGAGTGTGACAGCTACAGATGGAGGGGGACTCTCAGCCATCTGCAAAGTGCTGGTGGAGGTGGTGGATGTGAATGACAATGCCCCAGAGGTGATGGTCAGCTCCTTCAGCAGTCCCCTCCCCGAGAACACAGCGCCCGGCACGGTGGTTGCCCTGTTTACGGTCAGGGACCGGGATTCTGGGGCCAACGGGAAGATCTCGTGTGGCCTCGAGGATCAGCTCTTCTTCTCGCTGCGGCCAGCCTATAAGAATTACTATGAGCTGGTGACAGTGAGCGCGCTGGACCGCGAAGAGACGGCTCGCTACATCCTCAGGGTGACGGCAGCAGACGCGGGGTCGCCTCCTCTGACGAGCACGCAGACCTTCACCGTGGACATCTCGGATGTCAATGACAACGCCCCCGTCTTCAACCAGACGTCGTACACCATGTACGTGCGTGAGAACAATGTGCCCACAGTGTTTGTTGGAGCCGTCAGCGCTGCCGACGCTGACGTGGGGCTCAATGGCAAGGTGAGCTATTCCCTGGCAGCGGTGCAAGCGGCAGAGGGGCCTTGGTGCTCGTGCGTGTCTGTGAACTCTGAGAACGGGCACGTGTTTGTGCTGCGGCCCCTGGACTACGAGCGCTTGAGGCAGACGGAGGTGACGGTCAGTGCCTCTGACGCGGGCTCTCCTCCCCTCAGAGCCAACGTCAGCGTCCGCCTCGTGGTGCTGGACGAGAACGACAACGCCCCGGTCGTGCTGTACCCAGGCCAGGACAGCAGCCCAGCGTCCAGTGAGCTGGTGCCCGTGTCGGCCGAGGCGGGCTACCTCATCACCAAAGTAGTGGCCGTGGATGCCGACTCCGGGCAGAACTCGTGGCTCTCGTACCACCTGCTGAGGGCCAGCGAGCCAGGGCTGTTCACGGTGGGTGTCCACAGCGGGGAGGTGCGTCTGAGGAGGCCGGTGACGGAGAGAGACAGCGTGAGGCAGAAGCTCCTTGTCCTGGTCAGAGACAACGGCAAGCCGCCCCTGTCGGCCACGGCAGCTGTGAGCGCGCTCCTGCTCAAGGACTTGTCAGACGTGCGCCTCCCCGGGCACGGCAGCCCGGCCCCAGAGGATCAGGCTGGCTCCCTGACCACCTATTTAATCATTGCCCTGGTGTGTGTCTCCCTGCTCTTCCTCGTCTCCACGGCACTCTTTGTGGCTCACAAGGTGTGCAAGAGAAAGGAGCTGAAGGCTGGCCATGTGCTTTATGGTGCCGACAACTTGCAGAGCGGCCTGGCCGATGGGGCCGCTGCAGGGAGCCTGCCCCGCGCCTATTGCTATGAGATCAGCCTCACAACGGGCTCGGGCAACAGCGAGTTCAAATTCCTCAAGCCCATCCTCCCCAGCGTGCCAGCACAGCACTGCTCCGTGGGCCAGGGCCCGGAGGATGAGCAGCATTTCCCCTGTGTCCCTGTCAGCACCGACGACACGGTACCAGACAATCCTGGCACTCTCTCTGCAGGACACTTCAATTCTCTTTCCTTCAATTAGCTGGGCTCTCCACTGCCAGAGGCTTCAGTGTTCATAGGAGGAGGGGATCTAGGTAGCAGCGTTTGGCAGTGGTTCCTGCAGATTAAATCTGGATTTGCAATTGTATTGATCAACCTCCTGCAAATTATTTTTGGAATAAATATTGCCCATTCCAAAAAACAGCACAGGAACTTGTTCTTATTTGGTTTGTTGTAGGTTTCGCCTCAGCCTCTGCCTTTTCTGACAAGATTTAGGTAGGTAGTTGGCACTCACATCTCTGTTCTGGTTTTTCTTGCTGTCTCACAAGACAGAGGATCCTGTTTTCCTGAACTTTAAGACAGTGTCACTATTGACCAAACAAATCTTGTCAACACTGAATTGCAGAAGGGCTTTTTTACAGCTCTGGTTACCAAGGAAGTTGTGAGTACTGAGTTGTCACAATATCATATGAGCAGTAGGCCCTTTCTCCCCTGGGTTCTGGGTGTCTCTTCCAGAGATGTGAGCTCTGTGTGCTGTGCTTTCTTGTCGCTGTGTCTGTGCAGACACTGAATATCTTCAGATGCTTCAGTCGTTCTGCCTGGTGAAGCAGGGTGGTGCTCCCATCCAGCCTTTGCAACACAGGCAATGCCAGCCCAGCAGGGAAGGAGGTGATTTTGACCCTTTTGGAACGGCTATCTCATCTTCCTTATCTAGCTCAAAGCAGGGCAGCAAAATGCACAAGGAAATCTTCCTTTGGCATACAAGAAGGGCTTGAGTGTTCTGTCCGCTCAAGATTGCCTGAGAAATACAGCAGCACAAATAGTGTTAGAGTAGACTGTAACTGAACAGAGTTGTTATAACATCTTCATTATCCTTGGATGCATTGAAGGAAAACTCCACAAATACTAAAAGACAATTATAGTAAGGTTGAGTCAAGAAGAACTTTAAAGAAGGGCATTGTGTTGGTCTTTCAATTGATGTTCTTGAGCCCTAAGACTTACAGATGGTAGTGGAGATTTTTCAGTGAATGATTTCCTGTGTTTGTTCCAGTGCACTTGCCTTCCCATTTTTGCCCTTTCTCCTTCTACCCTCTGAAATGTACTGAGCATTGTACTGATCCTGTTCCTCTAGAAAAGAACTGCCGACCCATCTGTAATAACTGGTTATTTGAATGATGTCTGTGATGCATGAAATACTCAGAGAGGCTCCCTCACGCTATGTTTTCCTGAAGCTATAAAGTTAAAATTGTAAATTTGATTAGCCTTGGGAATAGAAGCTGAAAAAATAAATGTATTAGACTGAAATAAAGAGAACACACTTTTGTGAAGACATAATTCTTTGTAGACACGTTCTTTCTGGGATAGCCCTGTGAGGACTTTTCAAAATTGTGCAAGGTACTTAGTAACTGTATCCCCAGTCTGAAGCAGTGTCGGGTGGGTTCAGTTGGTGAGCGTGGAGATGCAGACTGGGAGTTTCCATTTGCTGCCAGCAATTTGCTGTCAGCATCGCCCGTTGCGTGCTCGGTTTGTCCTGCTGAGCGATGAGGCTGTGTGGTTCTGGTGTGGGTGTGGGCTTGCCGCTGGCCTGGGAAAGGGCGCATTGTGATGCTGGCGCCGGGTGTGTGGAAAGCTTTGGACTCTCGGTCCGGGGCGAGCGGCAGCGCGGGCTGCGGGCGGCGGCGGGCGCAGTTGCAGCGCGCACCGCTGGGTGGTGCCCTCGGCCAAGGCGGCGCCGAGCGGCTGCGGCAGCGGAGGCGGCCGAGCCCGGCCCGGCCCAGCCCAGCGCAGCTCGGCTCAGCGCAGCGCAGCTGAGCCCGAGCGAGCTGAGATCAGCGCAGCGCAGCCGGCCGGAGGTGGCAGCGGCTGCGTTGGCGAGCGCTGCCCCGTGTCAGCCGCTGCCGGCACCCTCCGGCTGTGTCAGGCGCCGCTTTCGGCGGAATCGGAGGCAGCGAGAGAAGGCGCCCGGCCCGCGCTTGGCCGCTTTCGGCGGGGAATCACCGGGGACAGCCGCCACACCGACCCCGGCCGCCGCCGCCGCCGCGCCATGGCGATCGCAAGGCAAGTGCTTTGTCTGTCTGCTTTCCTGTGGCTGCCGCCCGCTCGCGCCGAGCCCATCCGCTACTCCGTAGCCGAGGAGGCGGAAAGCGGCTCCCTGGTAGGCGAGCTGGCGGAGGACGCGGGGCTGACGCCGGCGCAGCTCTCGGCTCGCCGCGCCCGCCTGGTGTCGGAGGACGGCCGGCAGCATTTTGCCTTAGAGCGCGGCTCCGGCCGCCTGCTCGTGGCGGGGAGGCTGGACCGGGAGGAGCTGTGCGGCCAGTCCGCCACCTGCATGCTCCCCTTCGAGCTGCTGTTCTCCAACCCCCTGCAGTTCTTTCGGGTCGAGGTGGCTCTGGAGGATATCAATGACAATTCACCTGTTTTCCGAGAAGATCGAGTTAGTTTTAGGATCCCTGAAACGACCGAGCCAGGTTCACGTTTACCCCTGGAGTTGGCTCGGGACCTCGATATTGGCAGCAACACAGTCCAGACATACAGCATTTCTCCCGAGAACAAATATTTTAGTATCTCCTATGGAACTCGAAGCACAGGCAAGAAGTATCTGGAACTGGTCTTGGAAAAGCCATTAGACAGAGAGGAGCATGCAGAGATGAGTTTCAGTCTCATTGCTGTAGATGGTGGCTCTCCCCCTAGGACTGGGAAAACTGAAGTGAAAATTGTCATTCTAGATGTAAATGATAATGCTCCCATCTTCACACAGGAGGTGTACATTGGTGAGGTTCTGGAAAATATGCCAGAAGGCTCCGTAGTTCTAATGGTGTTGGCAACAGATGAGGATGCGGGACTTAATGGAGAAATCTCCTATGAACTCAGTGAAGCAGTGGGACAGAGTCACTCTACATTTCTGATTGATTCCATAACTGGGGAAATTAAACTCACAAAACCTCTGGACTTCGAGGCAGCACAAAGTCACGAGCTGAGTGTAAGAGCCACAGATGGCGGGGGACTCTCAGCCATCTGCAAAGTGCTGGTGGAGGTGGTGGACGTGAACGACAATGCCCCAGAGGTGGTGGTCAGCTCCTTCAGCAGTCCCCTCCCCGAGAACACAGCACCTGGCACGGTGGTTGCCCTGTTTACGGTCAGGGACCGGGATTCTGGGGCCAACGGGAAGATCTCGTGTGGCCTCGAGGATCAGCTCTTCTTCTCGCTGCGGCCAGCCTATAAGAATTACTATGAGCTGGTGACAGTGAGCGCGCTGGACCGCGAGGAGACGGCTCGCTACATCCTCAGGGTGACGGCAGCAGACGCGGGGTCACCTCCTCTGACGAGCACGCAGACCTTCACCGTGGACATCTCGGATGTCAATGACAACGCCCCCGTCTTCAACCAGACGTCGTACACCATGTACGTGCGTGAGAACAATGTGCCCACGGTGTTTGTTGGAGCCGTCAGCGCTGCCGACGCTGACGTGGGGCTCAATGGCAAGGTGAGCTATTCCCTGGCAGCGGTGCAAGCGGCAGAGGGGCCTTGGTGCTCGTGCGTGTCTGTGAACTCTGAGAACGGGCACGTGTTTGTGCTGCGGCCCCTGGACTACGAGCGCTTGAGGCAGACGGAGGTGACGGTCAGTGCCTCTGACGCGGGCTCTCCTCCCCTCAGAGCCAACGTCAGCGTCCGCCTCGTGGTGCTGGACGAGAACGACAACGCCCC